TTAATAACTATGAGTAGAATTCTACCTTAAAGGGGAACCTTCCAAACCCAGGGATTGCACCAAAGACTCATGGGACACTATTGTTTATGTTGTTTGCAATGTTAATCTATCTTTTGTTATCTATTGTAATTTTAATCTAGAAAGTAAATTTGTTGTTATATTAGACTTAACTGGAGGTGCCCCTTTAATACAGAGGTGGGTGCATAGATACGTTATCTGTACAAATTAAACCGTCCCTCCCTCCCACTAATTAGTGACGTCACCTTAACTAGAGCCAAGACGTAATTATTGCCTAATTTATAAACATTTTTTTTTTTAAAAAAGAGGTAACCACATGTTGCACTCAATTCCAAAATTCACTCAATCATTCCCTTATATATTTATAAGCAATATACCATGTGTGCATCATGATATTGGCTCCAAGGGTGTACGGTTCGTCTAAGAGTGGCGGCGGCAACAAAGAAACGAACGTGGACCCTTACCAGTGCCCCTTCAATCAACACGGCACTGTAAACTTCAACCTCTGATATATATTAAAAAAGCAGGAATGTTACATAGCTATTCCTGCTTGGTGGTGATTTACACAATTAACAAATTGCGTAATCGAAAACGCCAAGAACAGATCAGTTTTCATGGGGCCTGGTATCTGCATCACAGCGGTCGACAAAGAATAGAATTGTAACACAGATAAAACTTACCATATGACAACGTTTTTTTCTGAGATAATTAAAGTTATAGTTCTGAATTTTCCATTTTCGACGATTTTATACGAGTTGGCCATGTTTATTATTTATCTGGTGAAAATGTAATTTCTTCAGAAGTTTGAAACATATGTTCGTCATTGAAAATGCACAGTAACTCGCGTCATTGCCGTCTATAGAATAATATTTAGAAGCGTTAGACCTATAACAACGTAACAGTGCTTTAATCGTACAATCTTGTCATTATTATAGTATAGTAAACTGAGAACAATTAGAGCATAAACACGTTTGTCGAAGAAATACACCAAAACATTAACATTGTCGTATATACGAGACGTATAACAGTTAACTAGTGTTTAAAAAGGAATATGGATGAAAACATTTATTTGTTATTATTGTTAGAACCAAATTGGATTATGATTTATCGTGAACTGTCGATTAAAAAAACCCCGCTAATACGCATTAGATAATTGCATATTCATAGTACAGCGTATTAATCAACATGTATTAAAACATCAAAAAATACTTATTCTCATCTAAATTGGATCGGTAATATCACGTACACGCAGGGTTCTCACAACAACAAGAGTATAAAAATGAAGAGGGGTCAGGAAGAGACTCAACAATTACTTCGTATGATTTTGATTTCAGCGGAACGTTCCATTCCTAGTTACGGGTGGTACAATCTATAGAATGACGAACTAATGAGTACAAGTAACACGTATAGACCACGGGAACATCGGTTTCTACGCAACACAATGTAGCCACAAATACGTAATACTAAACTAACCGATGCATTGGCACCGCGGGTCGACGCATCATCACGGGAGACAAAACATGATGTAGGTCACCGAACAATTTGAGGGCGCTATATTGTTTTGGCCAGGTTCAGTTTAGCCCATTTGGCAGGACTATTGATTCATAAAACGTGTCTCAGACAATTCCTTTGCTATATGATGTAATCAGTCATAAATTATGGTATTTTGCGATATTATGTATAAGTTTGACAACATTTTGTGTGGAAAAGTATTATTTTGACTATAGTTATTAAAGTCGTTCCGGTCGTAATTTCTAATTAACGGTTTTTGGCATAACTTTGTTTGAAATTTAATACAAATTGTAACAAGTGCCTAAAAACATTTCAACCATCTTCGGGAGATAAATAAACGTGTGTAATTTACCCCACCGCTATGTGAAATATTTTAATATTACTGTATTGTCACATTTCATGCCGTGATTTGTCAATGCCGACTAATTCGTTTTCAGTGAAGGTATCCAATTTTCCAGTCATTTATTATGGAATGGAGAGAATGGCCACAGTCGTTGTATCTAAACGCTAACACTGATTACAAGAATTTTAACATACACAACGACACGTCACGACTCGTCTTAACAACAAAGTTGACCCGTTTATCACGTACGCTTGACTATACGTGAAATTACTAGTAACTCACGCGAGGATAATCCCAATGTGTTTAGGACGCCGTACAATGCGACACGAGAATCGGTACACATAATAGTCAAAACATGCGTAAATGTTGACTTACCTTAAACCATGTGACGTTGATATTGTTACTGTATACATTTTATAGGTATGATATGGGCACTGATGATAGGACGATGTTTCCTGGAGTGTCTATTCTTCGACGCAAAACGCATCTACAGCTAATGTATTGTTGTAACTGTTCCCCATGGTCTTGACTTTGTAGACTAACGTATGTATAGTGTACGTTGTCGTCACGGTTATTCACGCGGAAAAAACAAACAAACTTAATTGATTTTACGAGGTTGTTTGTTGTTCAGCGTAATATATTATTAATCCCTGACGGTGTTATATCCTGTACTGTACACTGTGATATATGTTAAGTCAGGTCTGATGGTACTACCAATGTGACGTACCAATGTGACATATCCAGTTATATCCGATATTGATATATCGCTTAACCAATGTGATTTGCCTTTTATACCCGATACTGATTTATGACTGTGATAAGTCAATTATATCCGATATTGATATATCAATGTACAACTGTGATATACTCAGTTAAATCAGATATAGATATATCGCTGTAGCCTTGTGATATGCTCAGTTAAATCAGATATAGATATATCGCTGAGCCATTCTGACTCGGATATGCCCAGTTTTTACGCCACTCTCAGACTAATGGATATTTACTGTGATTTTTTGGTTGTTGAAGATGAACATAGGAATAATATGGATGCCGAAGAACGAATGAATAATAGATATTTTATCTACTAGTTGTTTCTGTGAACAGTGATGGGTTACTTGAAAGCCGATATCTCCAATATCATTCAACCGCTTTCACTGGCAGAACCGATAACGATTTAAAGCTGAGATGTTTAATTGTTAATTTGTTTCCCTTAGACAATTTGACCTGTGGCCTCTTTCCAGAAATAGTTGACACTTAATTTAACACAACTTATAACCATATTGTACAAATACTCCGACTATAGTATAGTATTATCACGCGATGCCATAATGCTCCAGTACGTGAGGAATGGCTGAATGCTCATACTAAAATTCTGTTTGAATTACAGAGACGTGCTGTTCCAGTCATTGCCGATAATTGTAAGTATACTTGTTCTACAAAATATTTGTTTTATACCCCACCCAGACATACTTGTGTAAAAATGTGTATTATATAAATGTTTTAATCCAATTAAACAGTTTTGTTTAATGTTTCGAATGTTTGACTTGTATATCTGACCCATAACTGGGTTACTCAGAACGTGTGATAAATTGTGACTCAGTCGTAGTGTGGTCTATTTGACAATAAAAGGATGCAGTACACTTTAATAAGGCAAAGTAAAATACAATTTGTTAAAAACAGTACCACTCTTTAAATGTTATTGTAGATTGATTTTCATCCATTCCAATGGATGTTAAGTGATTACAGAGTATTATTATTGTATGCCTTGTAACATTCTATCCATAAACAGTGATGAAATTGATATCAACGTCAATCACGCCACATGACTGTTAAATAAACAAAACTATTGTTTTGGTATATTTTAGCTTTACTAGAAAATGAAAACACAGTTACCAGAAATAGTTTCACGTGAAACAGTAAAATAGCTGCACCGTTTTTTACGAAGTGGTGTACAGTATATTCTATGCCAATTTAGAGCACTCGGTTTTCACAGTCCAGTAAGTCAAGTAATGTATTACTTTATGTGTTGCCACGGCCCGCTACCATTACTGTGCCCTCGCCGATGGACTCAAACTACATCCGAGTAAGCCCTCGGTGAGGGCCCGGTAACTCGCGTCGTGATATTTTAAGCATGACATTAAAGGGCGGTGGTCGTCGCGTCGCGTCCTGATCGACATGGGACTCATAGCGACGTATACAACGCGTGTAAAATACATTGTTTATTTACATGAAATTCGAACACGCGCTGCGCGACGACCACCGCGCTTTAAAATAAGATGAAACTTAATAATTTAATCTGAAAGTAAAATACAAAATTAGTTATTATGTAATTATAAGTCTGAAGATAAAATTAATTAAATAGTAACTCGAGTTTTACCTTTGACGAACATCAATGGAAAGCTGGAAATATTGACCATCCACGTCTAAATCCAGGCTAGTCTACGCTTCATCATTTTTTGTTGCAAAATGAGCCTCCATTCTCTACGACGACGATTCTCGGCTATGCCGTACTTGTGGAGACTACACTTTCCCCACGTACAACATGTAATAGGCATCGGTCTAGGATTTTAAAAGGATTAATCAAATATCAAGTTTTAATATTTTATACAATGTTCTAGTATATGAATTTGACAATACCATAGAAGTATCCCAACCATTTTATGACAGGTCAGTGTTTTTTATTCTTCACATCAACATTTCTTTTCATACAAATACACTATATGCCATGTTTTCACCATAGGTCACCGAGTATTGTTTTGAGATATATATCCATAGTGCATGATGGTAACATGTCCTAAAACACACATCTTTTCTCTGAACTAAGTACTTTCTATGATATAGAGTACATAATAATTGGTGATCGGTAGACGTTTCGAGCAATGGCTCTTTATCGATTGCATAGAAGAAAATATATACTTTCTGCTTTGAATTTACTCCCTTCATCTATGTAACATGAAAATATAAAAATAAAAAAAAAATACAATATTGGGGGGGGGGGGGGGGTTAGTGCTACCAATAACAACTCCAGCAGCGGCGTTCAACTTTAGTGCGTACTCTACTTGTAGCGGAATCCCTTTGGTAATTTACATATCGTCAAAGACATGCGCAGTTAGAACATCCAATATGGCGTTCATTCGCGGGAGTTTTGTATTTGGTGTAAAGGATTAAGTGACTGACTCCAAACATGGAACGATATCTGATGGTCTTGGTTGCCAATCGAATTAGTAACGGTATGTATAATAATTATTTCCAGTTATTCTCTGCTACATGGATTGGTGACAAATCCGCGATATTTGCGGAGGTCGAGTGACATCACGATTATCAACTGAGGCTAATTTTAATTTTTATGACCTCACCACTGATCCAAAACTTTGTACCAGTACTGTCTTGGTCAATGACCGTTCTAGAAATTGTTAGTGGTATGCGCCGTAAAGGTTTAGAAGCTCAAAGTATCGATCACAGTCATTGTTCAACACAATTGGCAACTTTATTCTGACCATCAGTGGCAGACTCTTCGACTGACATGAATGAATGGTTAAAGCGCAGTCACTTGTATCTCAATATGTTGTAGTGATCATTCCACTCGCACCCCCCCAAAGAAATTCCTCAAATCAACATGGCAAATCTTATTTTTCAAATGTTGACATATTATCAACATTTTTCCTCACGTGGTGTGAGCATTCGGATTACAGTTTTCAAATACAACCAGTACGAGTAGGTGATTATCTGTTAAGTGTGAGATCTCGCATATTGCGTGAAAGACGCAGACCGCTGCAAAAATCAAATGATTTGATTCTGAATATTGTTTTATAGCTTAATCACAAAATGCTGATCTTTCAAAAGAAAATATAGTGTAGCAAAATTTTTTTATTTCATTTTTATTGTTTATATATAATTATAGTTTACCTCATTATGTGTGTGTGTTCTTATTTTCATCATAAAAATAGTTTACAATCATACATTGTTGTATAGTATCTGAGAAACTCTGAATGAGTGAGTGAGAAACCCTATCCAAACTATACTGTTACTCATGAAGTGAGCTGTTCATATTGTCTGTCAACACTCTGTTCAAGTTTATTGTAATAGAACATTACTAATAAAAGAAAACTCATTTAATCATAATTTCACTGTATTACTATATTTCAATTTTAAATTTAGAAATTTTCTGGAATTTTCTATAACCTATCTGAGTGCCTGATAATTATTTTGGTGTATAACCAGAATAACACTGTCACAGTGACTAAACACATTCAAAGTCAGTTTCAATCTGTAATTGGTAAATAGAAATTTGTGATTTTCTATTTTTGAACCATGGCCCATTCATGAGTTGAGTGTGCCTTTTGTACTTTTATTTATTTATTATATTCAAGGTCTTATGTAATGGATGTATATGATTTAGATCAGTTACTGTGTGAACATTTAATCATATACCCTAGCGGAGACTACTCCAGGCTTTATGATTTAATACATGAGGTTTATTTTTTCTCAGTCATTCATAGGATTTCAAAATGTCAAAATCACTGAAATTATTAAATCAGAATTACAAGATTGTTTATGATGACTTTTTTTGGTATTTTGACTATTTTTCAGGAACTATTTATGAAATAACCCAAATTCAGCTGTTTTTAGTACTCTACAGTAAATGATAGATGACATCACATGCTTAGGAAAAGTGGTAATATTTATGCCAAGGTGTGTGGACTTTAACACCACTACAGGACTTGTCAAATGCTCTATATAATGCTAAAATTGACGGTAAAAATATTACTATGTATGTGGTCAACTTGAACCACAAAGTTTATAATCCTGCTACAAGTATTCTGATATTCTTTATACAGAAACTACATATTCAGATTTACAACAGTTTTTAGAGGGAGGCTTCTGTACTCAAAAAGGTAAGTAAAAGAAGCTGTTCTCCCTAATCTACCCTCCTAAAAAACATGATTTTGTGAGCTGAGTACTTTGGGTGCTAATTTGGATGAGTACGGTAGTAAGGGGTGGGCTTATACTTGAAGACCACCTCAGAAAAGATGATTTTTATTTTCATTTAACATTATAACCATCTTACCACTCATGAAAAATTATCCAAATTACATCTTTTGTTCACCACACCGGGCTCTGGAAATATTACGTCTTTTAGAAGAAAAAAAAAAGGGAAACGAGTCGTCATTGATTTCCACAACACTTTTATAATGAAGAAACAAACATGTTCATAAAATTACACACATTTTATTATAATATGATTTACATACCGTCTGAATTCACGGTATAAAAATGGGTAGAGTCTGTGGGAAAACAGTTGAAAGCAAAATCTTGACTGGGATGTTTTTGATCGTATGCTCTTGATGCAAAGTACTTTCCGCCATGTTTTATTAACACAATTTGATCTGAAACACCGTCCTTTGACCTAACAGGTCACGTCTTTCATTAACCAATCAAAATGCTATGTCATACAGATGAAATTTGTTGATTATTGATGATGTAATTATTGTTAACACAATGCGGAAGTGAATTACCGCAATGTTAAAATGTGATTTTGTGACTTGACAATAACATTTTTGGCACTTCTAAAACTACTACTCAAAACAACTTGTAAATTTATGATATTTACAACCAGGTGTTGGAGTGTTACATGTGATGGGACTTAATCACACGTAACCTGTTATTTGTTCTCTTACAGACGATGACTGCAATAATTCTTCATGTGTTTTGGACAGACATAGAACCCACTATATAAGTATTGTATTTCCTGATGCGCAACACAGTCAGCTTGCAGAATGGCGAGTGATTACACAAAGTTCAGATGTACAATGTGTTGAACTATTGAAGGAATTTAACACTGACGATGTGACATCAGAGTATGTACCATCTCCTGCATTTACAGAATTTCATTGTTATTTCGTTTAATTCTGAGCCAAAATAACTTTTGTGATACGAGATGAGTAAATACATGCTGATAACAGGTGTGGGTGATATTCGCTCACATTCGATCAGGTTCAGACTGCATGCATTGGATCGTAGGGTTACAATAAAGGAAGCGTAATTTATTCCTGACTGCACAAAATAAAATTCCAAATTTCGATAAAGAAAATAGTCAGAATAAATTCATTTTGATTATGGCAAACCATACTCTAGCACCAGCCTTAGCTGTCTTCTTAAAAAACAGCTATGGAACAAAACAGCAACAACTATCAGTGTATTAGGCCACATTTTGTGTTCTTTCTATATTCTGTATTCACCATTGGCTGCAAATTGTATTTTTTTGTTTTTGACTTGTTTTTTTTTTTTTTTTTTTATTTTAAAAAAGTTTATTTTTTGTTTTCTTTTTTAAATTGTAGTTTTTTTTTTTTTTTTTTTTTTTTAATTTCTTTCTGTAAAACCCTTTTTATCCTTTCCTAAGGATTTTATGCGTCTAATAAAAAAAAAAAAAAAAATAAGTACTTTAAACAAAACTTTATTAGGCGATGTTACAACATAAAAACTACCCTGTAACAAAAAGGCAACTGATGAATACTGAAAAAATGCCCCTTTTATAGGGTTCAGAGGATTCACCCCTATGGATTAAAAT